TTCTTTCAGTTGTAGGTGTCAGTTACTTTGTCTCAGTCACGGCAAAGCTGACTAATGCAGAAACTTGGTAGCAGAACTGTAGTTGTTGTTGATCCTACCTGATGATGTTGTTCAAAGCCCTTGGGAACTGATTTGCAGGAGGAGTTTGAAAAAATTTGGAGATGAAGGTGGAGAGACTCGAGAACACTGTAGAATAGAACTTGATGGGTGACTCTGGTTTCAAAAGACAAAAATGCTGACATAAATGTGGACATTAAAAATCAGGTTTATGAGGTTTTGGGTGTCAACAAGGACTGTATTACAAATTGGGATAGAAGTCATACCTGTTACATTCCGACAAACAAAAACAAAAACAAAAACAAAAACGCCTACATTTTGCCCACATTTTGAGACTTCATGGGAGGCTGAGTTTACAGATGATGGGCTAGGTCAATGGGCAGAAAAAATTTCAAGAAAGTCCAATACTCATGCAGTGTCATGGGTATGCATTACTAGCTGCCATTACCTAATTCTGTACTGAGAATCAAGCAAAACATAGAGACCCCCCCAAAAAACCCTGTAGTTCCCCCCAACAAAAGTCCTTGTAAAGTCAAAGCCAAAGAGATGTGGTTCATAAAAGAATTAGTACCATTTTTAAAAGTCAAGTACTTTACATTAAAACAACAAAAAAGATGGTTTAATGACATCTCAAAAATTGACCAGACAACACCTACTGCAGGCTCAGGGTATAAAAAGTATAAATTATTCTAAAAGACTCTGACAAAAGAGACCCAGGACACCCTGCTGACTCAGGTCTACGCCAAATGTGTTTCTCCAGTTCAGCAATACAGACCCTCAGAAGTCACTTCAGCCCTGGTCCTAGGGATCCTAACTACTGCTCAAGCTGCTGAGAGACCTTGACATCATTCAGGAGGTGCTGGCTTTACAGACACACAGAAAGCCATAATAGTTGTGGTATCATAGAGAATTCCACCAAGATTTCACAAAAAGACCTGAAAGGCCAGGCAACGTATCCCTAAGACAGTGATTCATAAATCTGTGAGTAAACTCAAAGGTATCGTAAGTAGCTAAACATTCCAGAAAAATAATACATCTTCCAAAGAAAGCCACACAGAGCGAGTCCATCCCAAGAAAAACTTCAGGTAGCCTGCTGTCAGCAGTGCCCTAGGAGAGGAGCTGTACAAGGTCTCCTTGCCACTGTGCACCTGAATGTTGAACACTGAGCCATGAGACTCACTGTTTGCACCACTAGATTTTGGGCTTGCTTTTGTAATCTGTTATTCTTCTCTCTGAGAATAGGAAGGTTTACTCTATTTCATTTTATGGTAAAACTGTTTTAACTTCCTTTTTGATCAGTATAAGGGACTTGCAGCTAAAAGTTCACCTTCAGTCTAAAAGGAGAATTTAGACTTATACTTTTAAACAATGGAAGACAGTTAAGATTTTGATGACTCTTAGAGAAAGACTAAACACAGACTGCATAATGAGACACATATGAGCTTTTAAGAGCCCGAGGCAGAATGTCACGTGTCAGATTGTCAGATCTAAAACATCTCCCCAACATGTTTCATGTGCTCAGAAATGGGATTCTGGAAGGGTTTTGCTTGTATCATGGGGACCCCATGCACATCAGTGGATTAATCCATTGGTAAGGTCACAGCTGTGTGCTCCTAGAAAGTGTGACCCAGTTGGAAGAGCTCCATCTCTCATGACCTCACTGGCAAGAATGCACTCTTTTTAAAAATCTGTTAAGTTTATTGGTACATTTTAGGTATACAATACAGTTACAGTCATCATTGGGATGTTGTGCCCTTACATGTCTTATCTTGGTTCTCATTTTTCCCCATTCCCCAGCCCTCCCTTAGTGAAAATGGCCATACTTCCAAAACTGCTACACGGATTCAATACAATGCTGATTGAAATCCCAAAAGTATGTTTCACAGAACTAGAGAAAATAATCCAAAAATTCATTTGGGACCAGAGGAGGCCTAGAATAGCAAAAGCAATTCTAGGCAATGGAGACATGACAGGGCATATCACAATATCCAACTTGAAACTATACCACAAAACCATTATGATAAAAACAGCATGGTACTGGCAAAGAAACAAACCTGAGGATCAGTAGAACAGATTAGGGTGATGCAGAAACAATTCCTGATATGCTCAGCTACCTCACCCCCACTTTTTTTGGTACTGGGGATCAAACTCAGGCCATTGAGCATGAGAGGCAGTCAGCAGAACCACTGAGCTAAATCCTGGGTGGGCAGCTACCTCATCTTTGACCAAAGAATGAACTCTTGGCACTGGATCCTCCCTTTGTACTCTGGTTCCCCCTCCTCCTCTGCTTCCCTGGGTGCACTGACTGAAAACTGTCCTCCCCAGCCCCCTCCACCACGCCCCTTCTGTCTTGGAGCCAGGCGACTACAGACTAACCCTTGTGAAGCCCTTAGTTAAACAGTCATATCTTCCTTTAGTTTTTGGATGGCCCGTATTTTACCACAGTGACAAAAAAGCTAATATAAACAATAACCAACAATATCAAATCTATAGCCTAAAAAATTAACAGTGATGGACTTTCTTCTTTTTGTCTCCTGTTTCTTGTATTTCTCCAATAAGTTTCTATTGCCTGTGTAAAAAAAAAGAATGAAGACGGGACGAAGCTCAGTGGTGCTGCACCTGTCTGGCAAGTGCAAGGTCCTGAGCTGCATCCCTGGTTCCATTAAAATAAAACAGAAGAGACCAAGGAAAAGTTGATATGATGAAACATTAAATTAATTAAATTAAAGTAATGAATATACATAATTAAATTATATCTAATGCATGAATATACTTCATTTTGATAGTATAAAGAAAAACTTTTGATCATCATTACCTCAGTGAGTAAAGAGCCATTTGATGAACTTCAGACAAGTGGCTACTTTGACATTTTACCTACTTCCAGCTACTCATCAAAACAAGTCATAGGTTTTCTAACAATTAAAACCATAAAAAGCAGTGTTAAATTAATGGGAAAATTATGTATTTTGAGTAGAAAATGTTTCTGAGCACCAAACCAAATGTTAATATTTTAAAACATTTTTACA